GAAAAGTGAAAAATGTTAAAAATAGATAACATTTTTGTGTTGTTGGTAAAAGTATTTCAGACATTTATTTTTCATACTTAAACTGCGATTTTTTAAATATTGAATTTCATCAAAAAAAAAAAAACGTGCTATTTTCAACAAATAAAGTACATTTTGCTTCTGTGGAAATATTATGGTTTGACTGTATTTTTTCCAAAACACTCGATTTTTGTTTTATATTATATTTAAATAAAAGTAAAAACATTTTTTTTTTTTAATGTATAGTGGAAAAAAAACTTGAGAAGCAAGAAGTAACTTACAAACCTATAATATTTAGTATCTACTAATTAAATTTCTCTTTATTCCTTTGAACTTAAAACAACAAACACAAACAAATGTATTTAAAATTAATAATTATAAAACATAATTTAAGTATAACTCCTGCTAAACAAAACCCGTTGTAAGAAAATATAGTCTAGAAAAGTAATTTTTTTAAAATTTTAAAATTAAAATTAAGTCAACATTTAACCTATGATATTGGTATTATAATTTAGTTACATAATTTACCATTTAATTTTTAAAAGTTGATAGAGCTAATTATTAAAATCATATTACTCCGTTAAGTGTCATTGTTTTCCTCTCAGGACGTGTTTTTGAGTAAAAAAACGGCCCACAATACTTTAAAGTTTTGTTATGTCCCTTTAAAAGTCCAGGGATCGGAGTGGGTGAAGATCATTTGCAAACAAAATATATAAATTTCAACAGTAATTGATTAAAAAAAAATAATATGGTTTTATTTGTGACAAAAAATTGTATTCAATAAGATCATTTTTGACTGTACCTTCTTTTTTTAGTGTAAAAACCGCGTAAAATGGAATAAAGTTGATATTAATAATCTGATTTTTAACGTTATATGTTATACAAGAAATAATCAACAATGGTTATGTATAGAATGATTTTTTATTTTTATTTACGTGATGTTAATAAATTAAATAAAACAACAATTGGTAATTTCTATGGGAAATTGCGCATTGCACTTGTTCCAATTATTTGTTACAGTTACTATATATATATTGATATCAGTAAAGTATATGAGAGACGTTGTATTCCATTTAATTATAATCTGAAAATAATGAAAAAAATAAATAGCTAATCTAATACTACCCTCTTTGCTTGTAGAAACGTGAAAAGAAAATGTGTCGTATGTCTTTGAAATATGGAAGTTATAATAACCTGATGGAAATTTGCAACAATCCGTGGCAGAGCGTACGGCCATCGACCATTTTGTCTGATAATTCAGTTTTATATAATTTTCTGAGATCAAACATTTTCTTTCTTAGTTCGGCGTTATTAAATTGTTGTATACATTTTATCGCATCTCCACAGTTAATAACAGGTAACAATAAATATCACATACCTATTTCTACTTTACAAACACCACTAACATAGTGTTTAAAATAAATATTAACAACATTTTGTTAAGATAAATTTTGTAAGTGCATAATTAATAATTCGTTCATCGACTTATGTATATAGGGACTATCGACTATCGAAGTTCACTAGATTTACCAATAAATATAAGAACTTTTTTACCAATTCTTATATTTCCATGATTACTTCTGATATTGTAACGCTAGTATTGTGTACCAAAAAAAAAAAAATATATATATAAATCTGTTGTAAAAATTAAGTAGCTCTCATAACGAGTTTGACTTATTTTACTATACAGATAAAAATCATTGTTATATTATTTTTGTTATTACTAGGTTGTAAATGTAGGTATACATTTTATGTACATAGTAAATGAACACGTAAAACAACCAAACGTTAACGTTTTAAAAATATTGTAAACATACATGATTAAAATAGCCTAAACTGTTATAAGCTAAAAAAAACATTTTCTTGATAGTATTTGTAATGTGTATTTTATAGGCACATTGCTCTACGGGTACATACAATTGTAATATTAATAATAGTCATGAAAATTTGCACATAAGTTACTAAATATTTATCTATATTTATATAATTTCAAACAATTTCATCCATGTACACATTATATTATTATACACTTAACACTATACACTTTAGTAATTACTAATTAAATAAAAATTTGTTAAAATTAAAAATGATTTTTTTATATTAGATTTATTGTATTAGAGTTCAGCATTAGCTTAAGTTGTAAAATTTTTTTTTATTGTAAACATAAAATTAGAAAAGCCAATCAATCAAATTATATAATCGTATGAACTAACATAGTAGGTGAAGTAAAAATAGTGGTATGATTTATGTAAATCAAAATCATTACTGTGCTAACACAATTAGCCAGAATTTTTAATAGTAAAAGACATAAATGTATGTGTCTATACATTAGGTATCGGATCTCATTTTCATTCTTGTTAGCTAACTAATTAATTCATAATTTTCCATTTTAATTTTACTCGTTTTATATTATATACATATACATAATTCTTACTAGTTTTTTTCATTTTGACGAACATATATCCCGGTTAGTCTGGAGTATAAATTAATGAAATAATTGAATGTGATCAATTCGGGTTCAACGTTATAATGATTTGGCAGCAGTTTTTTTCATTATGAATGTATTATGCATTTTAGTATTAGGTAAAACATAATATATGATCTACGAGAGAAGTCTGCGCAACTTAACCCACTTTACAAAAATTATCCTTGTCATATAACATATTTATACGTGAAAATAAAAGTAATTTTGTGCCATAAGGACTTAGAGATGACAAATTTTAAATTTAATTTGACAACATCGTTAAAAAGCAATACAGTATACTAAAGATCTCTTTAATCCACTAATTTTCTTGGCAAATAATTATAATTTTTTACTACTTTCAAATCGATAATTTTCGGATTTCTTATGTTGCCTTCCCAGTGTGATATTATTTTCCATTTGACACATTAACACTGAAAGTATATTTTTTAAAAGCTGTTATTTTGGCCATTATATTTAAAAATAAATGTTTTATTTATTTAAATAGGCAGTTATTTATAAATCTAGTTGAAAATGAGAGGATGGCAAGTAAAATATCTGATAAACGTTGTATTCCATTAAATTATAATTTGAAAAATAATAAAAAAAACCAAACAGCCAATCCAATACTACCGTCTTTTCTCGAAAAGAAAATATGTCGGATGTCTTTGAAATATGGACGTTATAATAACCTGATGGAAATTTGCAACAATCCATGGCAGTTCGTACGGCCATCGACCATTTTGTCTGACCATTCAGTTTTATATGATTTTCTGAGATCAAACATTTTCTTAGTTCGGCGTTATTAAATTGTTGTATACATTTTATCGCATCTCCACAGTTAATAACAGGTAACAATAAATATTACATACCTATTTCTACTTTACAAACACCACTAACATAGTGTTTAAAATAAATATTAACAACATATTGTTAAGATAAATTTTGTAAGTGCATAATTAATAATTCGTTCATTGACTTATGTACATAGGGACTATCGACTATCGAAGTTCACTAGATTTACCAATAAATATAAGAACTTTTTTACCAATTATTATATTTGCATAATAACTTTTGGTATTGTAACGCTTGTATTGTGTACCAACAAAAAAATATATATTTAAATCTGTTGTAAAAATTAAGTAGCTCTCATAACGAGTTTGACTTGTTTTACTATACAGATAAAAATCATTGTTAGGTAGGTGGTAAATTTAGGTATATATTTGAAGATATTGGGATTTAAACAAACTTAACATGATAACGGAAAAATTTACCTGTTCTTCTGTGTTTGTAACAATTTATGTGTTTGTTTCACAGCTTAAACATTTAAAATGTATCCAGCTAGACCAACGAGAGTACGAGCTCGGGGTCCGGTTAACAATGTGCGTCAACCCGGTCCAAGGTATCCACAACAGCGACCGACGTTCACATCCTTTACTCCTAGACCACCTGTGTCTGGATCTGTTGATTCACAAGTAAGCTGAAATCGAATAACAGTAACGAACAAGTTAATAAAAAATATAATTTTAATGGAAGATTACAAAAATACTTCAAAATAATTTTTTTTTTTTTTAGGTGAAACAAGTAAAAGAGAAGATGAACAAATTGGCAACAACGGGTATAATAAAATTTTACATTTTTGAAAAACGCTTAAAAGTTAACTTGATCTTACCTTATACAGATGATATGCCAATTCCTCTTGGCCGGGGAAGTGTACGTGGCCGTCGTTTAACGACCGAATTTCAAGAAACATTTCTAGCGCCCCGCCCTGAATCGTCATTGACTCCGACAGGAAAGAGAGGTACCACATAAATATAATGATTGGCAGCTTAGGTATATATCGTGTAGGGCAGATAAAGCCATTTAAAATCCACAAATCTACATATTATTATTCGTACACAACAGCTATGTTGTCGGAACTTTTATGTAACGACACAGTCAAATAACTCCAACTACAGGATAAGGTCTAATCTTACATACAAATTGTAGGTGTCTCCGGAGTTGAAGTACAATTGTTGTCAAATTATTTCCCGCTGAGATGTATTGACAAGGACAAAGGATTAATGCAATGGGAACTATATCAATATCGAGTTGACTTTGATCCCGAAGAAGATCGTATTGCAGTCAAAAGAGGTTTATTGGCTCAGCATCGCAATGTTTTTGGCGGTTACTTGTTCGATGGAACTATGTTGTTCACAAGCTCCAAGTTGAACCCCGAGGCAAGAAATAATGGCTAACCCGGTTGTGGTTTTCCGGTATAACTGAGTGCGTTTTATTGTTTCAGTCATTCGAGCTGACATCCCAAGATCGTAAGGACGATAAGATGTTCATTATAAAAATAAAATTCACTAATGTCTTGAAATCTGGTGATTATACTTACATTCAAGTATTCAACTTGCTTTTGCGCAACTGTATTCGGCATCTCGGCCTTAAGCTAATATCCAGAAACTTTTATGACCCGGAAGCTAAGGTCAGTATTTATTATCCATTGTATACATTACAAGGAGTAGTGATAAAAAGGCAATTTTCGAAATTGTATCCATAAAATCACACAAATGTAGTAACAGCTTGATGTATTCAAACCCAAAATAAAAATAAACCTTTTATTTTTGAAAAGATTTCCACCGCTCCAAGTCAATAAACCGATATTCAGTAAAATTATTTAGATTTTTTAAAAATTATAGAAACATGTAAAAGCAAGTAAGTCATTAAAAAAAAAAAATACTCATTATTTTCTTTCATGATATTTGCAAATGTGCAGTTTTTCTTTTCGGTGATACCTTAGATTATGCTATTGTATTAGAATATAACTTCACATTTTTATCTCTTTTAATTACTTTTCTATAATCAAATTTTCTTTTCAACTTCAATTTTCATGTAAAATGAAACAGTCTTAAGTATATAGAATAACTTATTTTACAAAGCAACTTCATTATTCACTATGATAAAAAAAAAATGCTTAAAGTAACACGTATATATTATTCAGACATTAGTTCCTTGCAGTACTATATATATTTTATTTTTTTATTTCTGTAGTATCAAAACTATTTGAGTTATGAGGGAAAATTTAAATAATTTTACTAAATATTGGTTTTTAAAAATAAAAATTACCTATTCCACTACAAATTTGGTGTACGTACATCCTACATAGTATTTAAATTTTAATATTTATTGAATTTTTGTTCATATATAATATATTAGATTGACTTGCCAGCACACAAGCTCCAACTTTGGCCTGGATACGAAACATCCATCGCCATGCATGAAAACAATACAGTATTAATGTGTGCTGAAATTTCGACCAAAGTAATGCGCCAAGAAACAGTGTTGGATTTTTTACATTCATGTGCCGCCGAAAGGTCTAGGAACCCAGAATGGATGGTAAACCCATTTTATCTATTTTATATTGATGGAATTTATGTATTTATAAAACAAAGTTTTCACGTGATGCTATATTATTGTGTTAAGAGGACGTCAAAACAATATTTTCAATGCCAAAAACTTTATCTCTGGAGGTTGCATTGCTCTAGAAAAATTATCAGTTACAGCTTTTATTTATAAGTAACCAAAACTAAAGACGAAGAGTTTAATTAGATGATTACAATTTTTTTTTCTTTTTTTTAAATGTATCTATAACTTTTTAAAAGTGCATAATTTAATATTTTCTCAGCTAAAAAATTATAATTTTGTCGCTAATGTTACATTATTGAAAAAATCCAAAATAAATAAGTAGGTAAACTCTTCATCTTTAACTTTTTTCGTTTGTAAATTTGTTTAGTAAATGCACTGTTAAATTTCCAAAAATCTCCAGTGGTATGTTTTTTTCAGTAAATACATGTTTTGGTATCGATGCGATGTAAAAATTGATAATAAAAAAAAACATAAGTTTTTATATGTATAACTCTGCCATGAGTATAATTAGTTTTAACTTATGTCAAGTTTTATTGGAAAATTCCTTTACAATAATTAATTTTTTTTTTCAATTTGAACACATATTTTTTTACATTTAAGTATCATCATTTTGGCTCTTCAGTATGTACCTAGCACTAAAGTTTATCAGTCAACCTGTAAGCTTCTATACTTTAGCAAATAGGCTGTACTTTATATAATATGACCACTTTATAATTATCGGCTAGTTAGTCTGTAGGCTACTGTTATACTAAAGCGATTTCTAAAATAATTAATTTGCGTTGGCACAAAGAGGCAATAGTAATTTAATAATGAAATTGCTTTGTTGTCGTTTAACATTTTTTTAACGTGTTTCGTTTGAACATTTACTTTTGTATAGACCAATTTCAAGAACGGAGTCATTGGAACAACTGTTATGACAGTTTACAATAACGAGACCTATGTTATTGACGATATCGACGAAGCTTCGGATCCTTCGTCAACGTTTCCTAAGAAAGATGGCACGAAAATGTCGTACAACCAATACTACAAAGAGGTATTGATAGTAATTTCCACTTAGTTTTGTAACTTGTATGTATGAAATTAGTCATCTCGAACTCGATGTAAATTAGAAATGGAATGTACAAATACGCGGGGGCAGACAACCCATGCTGATATCGAAGAACAAAAAAAAATCTGTCCGAGAATTTGGGGTGGAAGAATCTTTGGTGTATTTGGTTCCTGAGCTGTGTGTCATGACTGGATTAACTACTCAGATGCGGTAACTATTATTATTTTGTGTAACGTGGTATTTATCCCTGATCCGTGAAATTGGTATTAGGTTAATAAAAATACAATTATTTGTAATTGTCCAAATGCCTGTAGGTAAACACACTGTTTGAAATGAGAAAAAACAAATCAAAATTGGTCTGGGAATATTCGTCAAGGAGTTGAAATAATAATTAAGAAATGGTTATATATATTTACATAAATAAAGTGTTTTGGCCTTTGGGGATTGACCATGCGAATGGGCCCCTATATAATAATGTACAATTTTCAATTGATAATAAATATTTTTATTCGTGTTTAATAAATTAAAATTTTCGTTTAAAAAAATATGTTACGTTATAGAAATGTATAGTGATGACTAATGAGTATTGGTATTATGTATTATGTCTTTATCCAACAAGAGCCTCTCGATATTTATGCGTTTGATATTATAATATTAATTGATTTATGTTGTAGAAATAATTTCAATCTTATGAAGGACTTGGCAATCTATACGCGTATAAACCCAGACGAAAGGGTCAGGCGCCTTCGGAATTTCGTCAAACGAGTGTTGTCGTCCAATAACGTAAGGAAAATATCAATTCGTGGAAATAAAATTAATAACTAAAATGACAAATACCGTACAATTGTGCGTTGTTCGTTTGCAGTCCGTAGAAGAGTTTACGAAATGGAACTTAAAGTTAGACAGCGACCTCGTTGAAGTAAAAGGGCGCGTTTTGAAACCGGAACCGATTTTTGGCAACGTAAAGGACTATAATGGCGGAGATCAAGCTGATTGGACTAAACATCTAAGAATGTCACCGATGTACACTAATGCTGTAGTAAAATGTTGGGTCGTTATGGCTCCTGTGCAAAATAAACAGGAGGTAATCGCTTTCCTCACTACTCTGGCAAAGGCGGCCCGGGGATGGGTTTCACATTACCACAGCCTGTTATGTGAGTGTCCGGTATCTGATGCAAAATTTAGGCTATTGTCACCTGCCCGGGAAGTTTGAAATATACCGTCTATATTTTGTTTTACAAGGGTTCCACTGCAAGATAGTCGATCGGATACCATTATATGCACTCTGGAGGAAGCGGTGAATCAAAAAAATCCAACCATTATACTTTGCGCGATTCCACCGAAAGGACAACTGTACGCTGTGATAAAACGAAAATTGTGCGTGGACAGGGCAGGTAAACGTCGTCTCGTTCGATATCGTCTTTGTCGGTTATAATAATACATATTATCAATTTGTTGTACAAACTGTTTTATGCATTTCAGTACCATCCCAAGTGGTGCTACTGAAAAATGTACAGAAAAATAACATATCGGTTGCAACGAAAATCGCTGTACAAATGAATTGCAAAATTGGAGGTGCACCGTGGCTCGTGAAAATTCCTAAAAAAGTAATTATTTGTGACATTTTTTTTTAACAGACCGTATTTTGTAGGTATTTAAACACATTTTTCCTCGGACCTATTTTCAGGGCATGATGATAGTGGGTTATGACGTTTACCATACGCAAAAAGGTAAGAAAAAAATGTCTTATGGAGCTTTGATTGCAACAATGGGCGACACCCACACTAATATATTCAGTTGTGTTGAGCTCCACGAGGTCGGCGAAGAGTTGTCCAACCATTTCGCAGCGACTATGAGCAGTGAGTTAATAATTTAGTAAAGGATCATTTTTTTTTTTTTTAATTACAATTTGTTGTTGTAAAAATACTATTTTTCCAGAGGCCTTGATGACGTACAAATCGATAAATGGACATTTGCCAACGAGTATAGTAATATACAGAGACGGCGTCGGCGAAGGGCAGCTTCAATATGTCCACAAAATTGAAATCAAACTAATTAAAGTAACGATTATTATTATTTTTGTTGTAAAAATGTGTTTTGAATAATTTATTCAATTGTATTTATAATTTTTTTTTTTTTTTTTTTACTATAGGCCGTCGTTAAACAATTCTACGGTGATGCTGGTGTCCCCATGGCGGTTGTCGTAGTTACTAAACGTATAAGCACCAGGTTTTTCACAAAACAAGGCACGCGTAACCCTCAAGCCGGTACAGTTGTAGATAGCGTGGTCACCGACCCTAATAAGTAAGAGAATATAGTTTTTTTTTTTTTGTTTATCGTATTGGTATAAGTTACTGTTGTAGAATCAAATAGGTAGATCTAAAACATAAAAACCCATGAGAGATCAAATTCAATTGGTCGGTTGTAGGGTCTGTCACAAAAAAAAAAATTATGAATTAAAATTGGTGTAAAAAATACAGTTAGCTCTTTTCACTTAAAATTCTTAACCGTTTTATTTTTAATTATTAGTAACGTGTTTGTTTCAATTTCCATAATATTTTAATTTTTACATTAATAACTTGAATAACACCGTGAAATTAAAAAAAAATCAAGGCCCAGACGTACAATACACACAAATCGGTGTGACTAGATTTTATAATTACTGTGTTGTAAATTGTAGTATTTTTTTTCCTTTAACAAATTTTAGATACGACTTCTATTTAGTGTCACAACATTCGACACAAGGAACAGTGGCGCCTACGCACTATCAAGTTATTGAAGACACTTTGAATCTTCCACCGGATCATATGCAAAAACTTACATTTAAACTGTGTCACATGTACTTTAATTGGTCGGTGAGTAAACACTTTTCGGATAATTTTAATAATATCATAATAACGCCCGTCGTTGAGCTTGTTTGTTTTTATTTTTTCATTTCAGGGTACCGTACGTGTACCAGCCCCGTGTTTATTAGCCCATAAATTGGCATATTTTGCTGGTCAAACATTATGTGGATCGCCGAACGTTGGTTTAGACCGCCTCCCTTATTTTTTGTAATTAAGTTTCTTTACTACCTGTTTTATATTGTACCTTTTGTTTTATTGTTATTGAATTTGTCACCGCTTCATTTGACCCATACATTTTTTTTTTACAAATTTATTGTGTTATTTTTCAAATTACTTATACTTTTTTATGTGTTAATTTTCAATATAAATGATCGAATGTTTAAAATGTGAGTTCATACTATTTGTTATTTTTCTGTTTGCTCTGCGATTAATCTTTGTTAAATATCTGTATGGCCCTCAAATAGTACTCATGCCCCAAATAGTTCTTCATTAGTAAGTACATTTAATTGAAAAAAAAAATAGAAAAGTACATTCAACTATAATTTAAAGTAAAATTGTTTGCTTTCCACATGAAACGAAATCAAATTTAGGTTACTAACTGGAAGTGTTTAGGTAGGTACCGAATGTTAGATAAAGTGATTGCAATGATGCTATATGATAGAACAAGGTCTTACGGATCAATACATAGGACATATTCAATTTAAAAATCTTCTTGGAAAGAAGGCCGTTGAGCTGAAAATATTTTTACAGAATCAAATCCGATCATTTTAAGTAGGCGTAATTTTATCTAAAATTTACTTCTAAATTGGTTTAACTCATAGTAAACATTGTACATGTTAAAACTGATACACTTTGTTTTATGACGGTTATCATAGTATTACACTGTTTTAATTATATTTATTAAATTATTCACTTCATTACAATGATTAAACTCGTTACTTAATTTACACTTGTTATTCTATCTAGGTTATTACAACAGACTGTCAAGTGACTCAAAATAATATTATATGATAATAGATGATAACACAAACCACAATCATGTTATTATCATACAACACACTTTAAGCACAGAATAGATCATCTATTCTGTGCTTCAAGCTTGTATATTTTAACCTGAAAATAAATTGATATGGTCGACAATTATTTTCAAAACATTTTTAAAGCTTTATCCCCAAATCAAATAATGTACTTTTTGTTATATATTTATACCCTGTGATATTATTAACTACGACAATCGACATTGATGTATATAGTTCAAGAAATATAACACTGTTACCTGGGAAAAAATTCAAATAGTTTTAAAATTCGGCACAACTATAGTTTGTCAATAGTTAGCAACTGTTTGTCTTAATTGATTAACATACTAAAATTTCTGACCGCTCAAGCGTACACTCGGTCTGTTTAACGTGAGAAAAATAGGGTTTTCGCTTTTTTTCTCAAAAAATATCAACTTGACAAAACTATGTACAATTTTGTTAAACATTATTTAATTTTCTTATAAATAAAAGCGCTCGAAATATAATGAAATTTTTCCATACACTAATCGATTATTTATAACGCATTAAAGTACAGTTAATAAGTACCAAAAATATTAATTAAAATCATTTACATGATAGGAATATTTACTATTCAACGAACCACTTTTAAAGTCGGTGCTTATGTTGTGGTCCTCTTTGCGAAAGCCGTTTAGATGATACTAATGCTTACATAAAAGACTAGTAATGTTATGTTCATTTTTAATTCATTTTTTTGTGTTTTGTTTTACTAAGTTCTAAGAAATAAAAATAAATTTAACCAGTAGATACTAAATATTATAGATTTGTAAGTTACTTGCTTTTCAAATTTTTTTCCACGATACACTTTAATAAAAAAAAGTGTTTTTATTTAATTTAGTTCATACTTATTTAGTTTAAATAATATAATATAAAACAAAAATAGAACATTTTGGAAGAATTATAATGAAAACATATCATTTCCAATAATCAAACCAAAATGTATCATTGGTTAAAAATAGTACGTTTTGATCCAACTTAATTTTTAAACAAATCATATTTAAGGATGAAAAATAAATGTATAATTACTTTTGCCAACAACACTTTGTTTAAAAATATTTTATCTGTTTTTAACATATTTCAAAACACCTATACCTCAAGATTTCTTTATTTATTCAATGAAAATCAAAATGGAATCCTTCTATATATTATTTGTAGTTTTTAAAGAATCTTATTAATTTTATTTTCATTATCTAAAGATTTTTTAAAATAACCAACAACATTTTAATTTTCTAAGGAAATAGGTATAATAATAGGTATTTTTTTACATCCATTATAAATCCGTCGAGTACCAAAAAATAAAACTTATAAATTTCTGAAAAATAATAATAATCGAGAATAAAATATATTGTAGGCCCATTTTTTTTATGAAAAAAACATTTTACTATGTTTTTGTAGTGAGAATACAAAAATATGTTTTCTTAAAAATATGAACTCTATTGATATATATATATATATATATATTGTACTTGGTGGGCAATATAAATCTTTTCGAGGTATAATCTTCCTTCTTAGGTATAAGGAGTCATAACACTATTTTATTTTAATTATTCTTAGACCCAGCGTTGTTGATAACTGCGGCGGCAGATCTAAAAGAAAAAAAGGTCAAAAACCTGATTCTGCATTTTTTTGTTTACACACTCAATAAGTAAATGCGATACTTGTATATTGGACAATGCGAACATAAATATGAATTTTAACAAAACACCCTGTATATTATTATAAATATTTTTCTTTATCCCGTTTGGCCGTCACCACAAAGCAGCAGTAGCCAGAAAGACCAAAAATAAATATTTCATTTTTGATAATAAATTGTTATGACGTTGTCACAGAAAAGGACATTATCGGTATCCATGAAACGCATATATATATATATATATATATATATATATATATATAGTATACATTGTATAACAAAGAACATATGAATGTATTATACATTGTATAGTATATATATATTACCTATACAATTTGTATTCATTGAGTATGGTCCAAAAATACCGTGTTTATAAGATGGAATGGTATTCTCAGAAGTCTGAGGGTTAGTGTTCGTGTGCGAGATATTCGGCCGGCAAATACTTAGAAGTAAGAAGAATAATTAAAGTCTAAAAATTAGACTGAAGCATTTCTAGAGTGTGGCTATTAAGTACATTTACAATTTTCTCAAACACAAACATCCGTACCTATTCAATATATATTTTTTTTTAAAGTAAAAATTGGAAAAAAAATGGTAGAAAATGATGAATATTATATCGGGTACCTGCTTACACTATTTGCTATGTCATTTTGAGCTAAAACAAATGGCATTGTAGCCTGTAGGTAAACAAAATTGCGCTGTGGTATAATAATTCAAATTCTTTATTTTTCTACAGAACAATTTCTAACAAAAGATAGGAACAAAAAAAAAGTACATATATAATAGTATTAATAATTTCTTTAATATTCAAAATTTCTGGGAATGAAATCGATTATATCATACCAATTGGTATATCAAACGTTAACCCGTGTAAATGTGTACTACTAATATTAAATAATAATTCATCTTATATAAATTATTATTGACGGATACGGCCATACGGGTTAATTAAAAGGATAATGGTCCAATAAGTGTAGATGAACTAGAGGTCCGTAGCTCGCAGTGAAGCCAAGTCGGCCGCCGAAGCCTGTTCTTATTCTGAATAGAGTATAGAAACTATAAGTACTGTTTTTTTAAATTGTTATGAGTACAATAATATTCCTGTATTTATATTAGTATCATCAGCCAGTGTTATATACTAGTCAATAGTGGATACTGTTACTAGCATTTTATTTTTCAAAGTATTAATATTTTAATATACATATTGTACCTACAGGATGATTGGTTAACTGTGGCTCTTTCAAATTTTTCTAAGATATTAGACCTTTTTTCACAGTTAATCTAAAATGAATACATTTATTTTTAAAAAAAAATATCTCAAAATTGGGTGGACTAATACTATACAATTATTATAAAAAAGAATAATATGTCTTTTTAATTCTGTACAGTCAAAATCACCTTGCACTAGAAACTATACCGTATTGTTTTTGTCAAACGCGCACGAATAACAACAGCTTTTCAAACATGACAATGACATTGAAATTCGTTGTGATTTTACAGAAACGCGCTTGAATATAGCGTTTGAAAAATTATATTATATATATTTTCTTTATGGCCGCCGAAATATGTGTTGTTATGAGTTTTACACAAAATCTTGCAATTCGGCAAAACATTTAAACATTTGTATTCTAATTATTTTTTCGGATAGAAATCTTATATCTTACAAATATTACTTCTTGTTAATTTCCCAAATGATTCAATACCGTTAGTACTTGTTTAATACTGTACCAGTTTTAGCTTCGGCGCTGAAGTTTGCTTATAACTGAAAAAAAAAAACTAAAATAAATAAACATTGTCAACACACAACAAAACAGCGTTGAATTTTAACGATTTGTGTGGATCGAGACAAAATAAAAAAATTAACACAATTTTTATAATAACAATGAACAAGTAATATTTCATTAAAACTAATACAATAAAGCATTAAATAAAGACTTATACATGTACACAGATAGAGTGATTAATTTGACTCGTTATGTATCATTAGCATACATGAAAATAGTGTGAAAAGTGTGTAACTAAAACACCCCCAATATCCTTTGATGTAAAAGGGTACATAGATTCAACTTTCTATCAGTTATAGATTAGGAAAAAATAGCTCAAACCAAATAGGTACAGTCTATAACCAAGTAAGGTATAAATCCCACATAGCATGATTGTACCAAAATCAAGTCCAGTATCTACACATGCGTGACTACATTTTTTTTTTTACACTTAAATTATAGTAAAACTTTTATACGCCTTAGCGAATGCTTGGATATTAACGTTACGGTGAAAAAAAAATTGTTTTCTAAATTTTCAGAAGTACGGGGAAGGGTAAAGTACGCGAAATACACATCAAACACTGTACCCGTCGTTGTTATTTGATCAAGTTTTTTCTGAAAAATCTAACCTGCCCACTGCCAAAATTATTAACGTTAACAAGTGATTCGGATTGGGCCACGTATAAGTTATAACGACGATTCAGTCGATACAACACAGTTTGCAGTGAAAAGTTATAATAATTTGTTTGAAAAACATATTACGGTTCATTTTATAACCGTAACATCGTTTGATCGTGTTGACCCGTTTTTTGATTTTTTTCGACAATTGACGAA